TAGGCATCAAGCTTTAATCATGTATTATGTTTGGGCAACCACATTAATAACTTGTAACTACTCCCACCCCCAAGCATTTGTCTTAAAGGTTAAATATAGAGTGTGTAGTAGTAGTTCCCTCTCACACATGAGAGGCATGTGAGCTGTTAAATATTTGAGTGCGTTGTCAGCTCTATGTCCTTCCTGATCCCTAAACCCACCCTGTGGGCTGTGAATAAGGACAAATTTTAAACAACCAAAAGATTGTATTTATACTCTTTTTAAATCCCTGGCTGCGGGTATGCTATTGACGGTCTCACTGTCTGAGATTTCCCCCCTCTTGGTGCTAAGAGGAGCTGCTAAAATTGACCCTGCGTGGTATGGTACTGTCTGGAAAGAACTATACTTAGTAGTCCATGGCAAAGGTCTGGTGATCACCAGATTAGTATGTTCTTACACCAATTATGAAATTTTTAAAATGCAGAAGCTCTGAATACTGAGGGCATACTAGGATCAGACATTAATGCATAACTTATATTTTCCTAACTGGCATAGAATTTTGAAGAGACATAAAATATATTAATCGAAAAAAAAACATCCTATCCCCATATATGTATCTATGTTAGAGGGGATCTGTTACTTTCATGGATTGTAGCGGAGTGCTAGTTCCACATAGTCTTTCTTCACTGGTAATCCAAGAATTGCTCAGGACCAAGTAGTTAACACAGGAAGCACAGCATAAGCAGTAAATAAAACAATCCATGAATATCCCATCACCTTTCCCAATAACTGGACGACACAGTATCAGGAGCAGAACTGATATTTAATGCCACATACCCTGCTTTTATGCAACTTTCCCATGCAAGGGAGACACCTACAGAAAATCATACATTAGCCATACAAGTAACAAACCATAGAAATACTGTTGTAACAAGAAATGTTATGGACAGCCAAACGCAATCCGCTACAGGGATCTTTTATATTTTACAAAGATCCCCAAAATGGAAAGATCCAAAGTGTGTCCAGTAAATGCGGAGTGCAGGGTAAGTAAGTTTTATTTACCTCCAGTTGTCCCTTGCTGCTGCTGTCATCTTCATGCTGCTTTCCTCTCCAGTTCTTTGTCTGCCAGGAGACATGTCTGTGCTGAACTCGTATGCAAGTGCAAGAGTCCAGCACTGAGGTCTATGGAGGATCCCACAAGAGGAACCTCTGTAGATCGGTGACTGAATATGACAGCTGACATTTGTGATGGCTGCTGGGATTGGACAAACATTGATGGGGAAGCTCTTGTCAACTTTTGTCATCCTTAGATTTATTATAAGACAAAGTAGGGAATACTTTGTCTTATGATATCTTTGCATTGTTTTGGTATTTCAGTGAAATTCCAATGCAGTCTTGATCAGCATTTCATGACACAGCTACTTTAAGAAGTGTGTTTATTTTTAGTAATGCCACATAATTCAAAAAGGGCACTATACTACAGAGGTTGAACATACTTGGTGTAATTTTGTAAACAAACAATTGGTATTTACAATTCTTGGTACTCAGAATTCACAGCAGTGTACTAAAATGTATCATAGTACCCATCACCCATGAGGGGACCAAAAGGTATTAGTCCCAACAAATCAGGATAGTATGGACTGGGTGTGAAATCTATGTGCCCATTCAGTCCATTGTTTAACACAACAGTACATGAGTGAGTGGTATAATAGAATCTTTGAGTTGACCCCACATCCCACAGTCCAAGAAATATCTGCTCTATATGACAATTTTGCAAATAGTGAATAAGCTATAATCTCAATATTTCTGATAATCAAAGGGTTAAAAATTAACATATACATGTAGTTCTATATATACCATATTTCTTGGTAATTAAGGATTTTATTTATTTGGTGAATTTATTTTTTCAACTGAAGAACTTTTATGTTAATCCTCTTTCAGTGGACATCTCTGTTTTCCCACTCCTCCTTTTCACATTAAGCATAATGTTTACATCTCTGTTAGCCTTCCACATCCTTCCACATTAGATGCCTTCCCCTGCCACATTACAATACCTCTCCCTCCCACATTTGCAAACCTCTCCACTTTATACAACTAAACAGTTATATTACATGCTCCCTCCCTACCACATTACATGCTCTCTCCCTGCCACATTACACAACCCAATTCTGCCCCATTACATGCCCCCTTCATTAGTAAATAATATCCTCTTTACATAGCCCCATCCGCAATGCACTCCCAGTCTCCCTATCACAAGTAAGAAAATGTCCAACATTTTTCTGATTGTTGACTTGTCTGGAGCTGGGGTTTCATGAGCTGCAGCCCGGGTATTTAGTTGCTATCCCTCCCTCCTTTGCCACTGTTTGAGAATATGAGCTTAGCTACGATATAAGCACAGTGTCTGTGTGGGAAGGACTAACAGACATAGTGCATCATCAATAATACTGCAGAGTGATTATGGAAATCTTACAATCTCCCCAACCTGCTCACAATGCTCCCCATGGGTTGGCACCCTAGGTGCCGGCCTTGCACTACAGGGAGTGCAGAATTATTAGGCAAGTTGTATTTTTGAGGATTAATTTTATTATTGAACAACAACCATGTTCTCAATGAACCCAAAAAACTCATTAATATCAAAGCTGAATATTTTTGGAAGTAGTTTTTAGTTTGTTTTTAGTTTTAGCTATGTTAGGGGGATATCTGTGTGTGCAGGTGACTATTACTGTGCATAATTATTAGGCAACTTAACAAAAAACAAATATATACCCATTTCAATTATTTATTATTACCAGTGAAACCAATATAACATCTCAACATTCACAAATATACATTTCTGACATTCAAAAACAAAACAAAAACAAATCAGTGACCAATATAGCCACCTTTCTTTGCAAGGACACTCAAAAGCCTGCCATCCATGGATTCTGTCAGTGTTTTGATCTGTTCACCATCAACATTGCGTGCAGCAGCAACCACAGCCTCCCAGACACTGTTCAGAGAGGTGTACTGTTTTCCCTCCTTGTAAATCTCACATTTGATGATGGACCACAGGTTCTCAATGGGGTTCAGATCAGGTGAACAAGGAGGCCATGTCATTAGATTTTCTTCTTTTATACCCTTTCTTGCCAGCCACGCTGTGGAGTACTTGGACGCGTGTGATGGAGCATTGTCCTGCATGAAAATCATGTTTTTCTTGAAGGATGCAGACTTCTTCCTGTACCACTGCTTGAAGAAGGTGTCTTCCAGGAACTGGCAGTAGGACTGGGAGTTGAGCTTGACTCCATCCTCAACCCGAAAAGGCCCCACAAGCTCATCTTTGATGATACCAGCCCAAACCAGTACTCCACCTCCACCTTGCTGGCGTCTGAGTCGGACTGGAGCTCTCTGCCCTTTACCAATCCAGCCACGGGCCCATCCATCTGGCCCATCAAGACTCACTCTCACTTCATCAGTCCATAAAACCTTAGAAAAATCAGTCTTGAGATATTTCTTGGCCCAGTCTTGACGTTTCAGCTTGTGTGTCTTGTTCAGTGGTGGTCGTCTTTCAGCCTTTCTTACCTTGGCCATGTCTCTGAGTATTGCACACCTTGTGCTTTTGGGCACTCCAGTGATGTTGCAGCTCTGAAATATGGCCAAACTGGTGGCAAGTGGCATCGTGGCAGCTGCACGCTTGACTTTTCTCAGTTCATGGGCAGTTATTTTGCGCCTTGGTTTTTCCACACGCTTCTTGCGACCCTGTTGACTATTTTGAATGAAACGCTTGATTGTTCGATGATCACGCTTCAGAAGCTTTGCAATTTTAAGAGTGCTGCATCCCTCTGCAAGATATCTCACTATTTTTGACTTTTCTGAGCCTGTCAAGTCCTTCTTTTGACCCATTTTGCCAAAGGAAAGGAAGTTGCCTAATAATTATGCACACCTGATATAGGGTGTTGATGTCATTAGACCACACCCCTTCTCATTACAGAGATGCACATCACCTAATATGCTTAATTGGTAGTAGGCTTTCGAGCCTATACAGCTTGGAGTAAGACAACATGCATAAAGAGGATGATGTGGTCAAAATACTCATTTGCCTAATAATTCTGCACTCCCTGTATTTTATACTGTAGTGAATACGATTGATTCTCCTATTGCACACAAATGACAATTTTCTAAATGGGAAGCTTGAGGTAGATTGAGAGCGTCAATTGATCTTCTCAGCCTATCACCAGTGCCCAATCTGAAAGTTCCTCATTGAAGCCTTGGCCTCCACTGGAAGATGAAAGGATGAGCCAACATGCACCATCCTCACAACTTTGAGGTTAAACCAATAGTAAATGATTTCACCTCTTAAGGCAAGATTGCACACCGAACCTCCAGGCTCCATAGTAACTTAATTGAGATTAAGTAATTTAGTTGCATGGAGTGTTCCTATAAGTTATTTAGGTGGCAGCTAAATGAAGAATGTGGGAAGGGAGTAAAATGGTCATGCATATTTTGAATAGGGTATCACTGATTATTATTTTTTTGGTTTGGATGGAGTGATTCAGCCAAACCATGCACAAATCAAGTGAACATTTTAAGTGGTTAAATGTGTTGGCAATGGTATTATAATATACTGTATCTACATATTTTTGAATAACAAAAGATGTTTTATTCATGTGATTTCTATAAGTACATTTTCACACGTGTGCATGCAATGCACACATACACACACAGCATTTATAAAGCCATAAAACTGAAATGGAAAAATCAATTAAAAGTATTGATTATTTCTTTGTGTATCTGCCCCTGGCCAAATCAATGAAACAATGCGTGCACGCTCCCTGAAGTAATTCACACCAGACACAGGTTCCAGGTTGTTGAATAACTTGAGGAAAGTTTATTCAGAGGGGACGGCAGGTCCCTTTTAAAGCAAAATTACATCATAAGCATTGTCAGAGATAACATGGAATAATACATCAATTAATTGGTTAGGTGTTAAGTGGTTGCTTCAATGCTCTGCCTACTGTAGGTGATGTCACCGGGGCCATGAGGGTCTCCCACGGTTTCCCGGCGCCATCTTGGTGCACGAGGTAGTTAGTCAATGTTAGGAAGAAGAAAGGGAGGGGAGGGGGAAGGAGCTAGAAGCTTCTAGCAGCCATCTTGATTATAACATGTGTGCTTAGCTATATATATATATCGTGAAATGAGTAAATAGACATTTTTCACTAACTAGGAAATATGTGTAGACCTTATTTCCACAACAGTCCCCCCTAAAATGGCTATTTACCATAACAACTGCTACTGTCCCTAGTATGTCCCTAGTTGCCTGCAACCTATCTGCCTTAACTAGCATCGAACACTTCACTCCGTGGGTAACCCGCAGTGGCTAGTCCACTACATCTCCACACGTGAGACTCGCCAGTTAAGACAGACACTTTCCCTATACTGTCCCTATAGGAAAGCAGTTGTTTGTTTGAACTGATGTGATTGAAGGGGTGTATGTGGAGTATCATCTTCGAGGTCTGTGATGTCTTGGTGTATGAAAGTAGGGGTCACGTCATCTATAGTCTTGTCCACCGCTTTCTGTAAATACTTCTGTATGCAGGGGAATATGCAACAGGTCAGAAATAAGAAAATAACGATCATTATGAGAACAGCTGTCCCCACCTGGAAGAGGGTCCTTTGCCAACCATTCATCCATCCAAACCATCTGTCCCAAGGGTCGATGACTCCTGAATTTTTCTTTAGCTCGTCTGCAAGACTATCTAGCTTCTCTATGGCCATAGTCACCTTACCATTGGGCCCAGTGTTGTCTGGAATGTATGTGCAGCATGTCATGGTCTCAGGGAGGATTTTACATACACCCCCTTTCTCAGCTAAAATCATATCTAGGGCCATTCTGTTCTGAAATGTCATTTGGGTAGTGGCTTGTAGTTGCTCTGCCAGGCCCTGTAGGGCATCCCTAGTGTAGTTGACAAAACGCTGTTGATTATAGTAAATATAGTTAATCCAATTGACATTTTTGTTAGCAGTTATCATTGGAATTAGGGACTCAAATCCTGCAGCCACTTCATCTCTTGCTTTGAATTCGTTAGGCACCCCCCTTGGCACACCTATGGCATCAATATACACATGGGGGTCGAAACTCCCTCGAATAGGAGTCTCTCGTTTGATTCTAGAGTGTGCATGTGTGAGGTTTAACGTGTTATGGTCACCATCTGGAATGATATGGATAGGCATTATGACTTTGGTTAGGGCACACTCCCCCCACCATTGCCCAATTAATTGGGACCTCAATTGTTTATCCCCACATAACCAATAGATGTCGCCGATTGTCTTTGTGTGGTTCATTAGCAGTGATACGGGTGGATTATGGTAAGTTGAGCAATATCCTGATGGGAATTTGCCCAAATACAAACCGGTGTTTTTAGATATTGTATAACATGTGTAATTACCTGGGTAGATGGTGACTCCATCAGGTGGTTTTACATGTCCGTGAGTGATCGGGTAAATTCTCTTCCATGATTCACATGTCGAAGAATTGGTGACGGACTGTGTGTAAAGGCTCAGAACACATGATTCTACTTCAGGAGGTAAATTCAGAGGAACTGTGCCCAGATGGGGCCTGGCTCCCCCACACACGTAACAATTGGTCTTATTGTGTGAGTTGCCATTATACCTCATCCATTCTAGCCATAAATTAGTGTCTGAAAAACCAGTTTCCACTGCCATAGTGTCTTCAAAGGTGGGGTTGGCTATAGCTACCATGTCATGTAGGGTCTTAATAAGTGGTTTTAACGGGTTAACGATCATGTGAGTGGTCCCCACCCAGTCGGGGGAGGTGAGCATGTCTTGTAGGTAGAATGTCCCCAGTGCATTGTGTGAGCCACCTCCCTTCCAGTACATCCCCATCACATATTCCCCCGCGTCCCTTGGACTAGGGTGTTCTATATTCAAGGTAAGTTTAATGGGAGTTGACCCTGTGGGTTTACTAAGAGTCATTCTAGAAAGTAGGGGCTTCCCGTCTTTGTCAAGTCTGTCTAGTGCAACCTGAGGTCTGTAGCCCCATGGTCTACCTGTATTCCACCCGGCAGCTTTCCATGAACTACAGTGGTGTCCCCAAGCGCCTCCAGTCACACAAATGTATGGGTCCTTTTTGTCAGGTATGTCCTTGTATATGGCTGCATGTTGTGTCTGTGGGTATGTACAGGTAACTATGTCACAGTAATCAAAGGTGTATGTAGCTACATCAGTATCAGAAGAATTGTACCAGAAAGTGTAAACATGATTATCTTTGGTTATGGCCACTTGTTGGGCCCAGGCAAAATGCAACAATACAAGAAAACACGAGACACATAATAAATTCATGTTTCAACAAGATCAGCTTCTCCTGGAGCAGGCACTTTTTTGCAATGTGAAGCGTGTATCCAGGAACTTTTTCCAGCTAGTTTAACTGACGTTGCTGTAATCAGGAGCACTTGATAAGGACCATCAAATCTCGGTTCTAGGGTGTGTTTCCTGAGGAACTTCTTAACCATAACCCAATCACCTGGAAGCAGCTTGTGTGTACCTGTATTCGACTCAGGATCTGGAATAGAAGAAAACACTTGGGCATGTATCTTGGTCAAGGCATGTGAAAGGGCAGTCACATAGTCTACCATAGCGTCTGACTGAATCTGAAGCTGTTGGGGAAAGTAGCAACCTAACCTGGGTGCTGTACCAAACAAAATCTCATAAGGTGACAAACTGTATTTTCCTCTGGGAGTGTACCTTACACTGAATAACGCTAGTGGGAGACTCTCGGGCCAGGGCATGTTAGTTTCTTGTGACATTTTAAGCATTCTGGCTTTCAAAGTGCCATTCATGCGCTCTACCTTACCACTACTCTGTGGGTGATATGGTGTGTGGAATGCAAGGGTCACCCCCAGTGCTGACCAGACTTCCCGTGTTAGCGAGGCAGTGAAGGAGGTCCCTTGGTCACTTTCAATTACTTCTGGAACCCCATAGCGGCAAACAATTTCTGTCAAGAGATATTTGGCTGTAGTCCTCGCGGTGAGATTAGTCACTGGGAAGGCCTCTGGCCATCCTGAAAACATGTCCACTATGACCAATGCATATTCATAATGTCCACTCTTTGGCATCTGAATGTGATCAATCTGGATCCTCTGGAAGGGATATTGCGGCTTGGCTAGGTGATTAGGTGCAGTCTTTATAATCTTTCCAGGATTGCATTTAGCACATATAGTACATGACTTACAGTAATGCTGTGTTAAGGTGGTGATGCCTGGTGCTTCGAAATATTTGTCAATCAGTGAATTCATCAGGAGTTTTGACAGATGAGCTGGCCCATGGGCCCATTGGACCACCGCTGGGTACATACTTCTGGGTAGGCAGAACTTGAGATTAATGGTGTAAACATCATCACGGAGTATAGCTCCTTTGTTCTTCCAACCTTGTTTCTCTTGGGGAGTAGCAGCAGCTTGTTGTTCCTTCAGAAGCCTGAGGTCTGTAGGCAATGTTTGCATAGTATAGATAGGCAGTGTATCTGCGGCCACTCTTCTGTCCACTTCCCATCTTTGCCGTGCTGCTTCTTTAGCTGCTTGATCAGCCAGGTGATTGCCACGTGCTTCTTCTGTGTCTAGTCTTCCATGGGCTTTTACCTTCAGTACTGCCACCTCAGCTGGAAGTTCCAATGCGTCCATCAGCTCTGCAATGGCTGTCCCATGCTTTACTGGGGTACCAGTGGCCGTAAGAAATCCTCTGGTCTTCCAAATTAAGCCAAAATCATGTGCTACTCCCAGGGCATATCTTGAATCCGTGTAAATGTTGGCACGCAACCCTTCAGACAATTTGCAAGCCACAGTTAGGGCTGTCAATTCAGCTTCTTGAGCAGACTTATTTGGTTGCAGGGCAGCTGCTTGTAACACTTGACATTCTGTAGTAACTGCATACCCAGTGTGATATTGCCCTTGTTCATCAGCAAATCTTGACCCATCCACAAATAATGTTTGGTCCGGGTTGAGTAGTGCAGCTTCATAGACAGTTGGTAGATGTGTAGTTTCCATTTTCATTTGTTCAAAGCAATCATGAGGGATATCGAGGTCACAGTCTGTGGTGAGTGGATCCTCACAGGCTTCTGTATGGTACCTGGGGTACCCAGTTGTACAGCAATTAATAGTCTTTTTGTTGATTCTCGTAGAAGTCAGTTGTTCTGGGGTCATTTGACTCCAGGTTTTGGCCATCGGGCCTAGGTCTTTCCACGAGATGTCGGGGGGTCTGGTGAGAGATATGTGTGGAATCGATGTTTCCCAATGGTGATAGAGATGTGTCACACTCTCTGGGAGGTGGACCAAGATAAGCATGGTACCTGTGAGGTCCCAAAACAAGTCAGTCAGGGTAATTTGGATTTCTTTGAGTTGGAATACTTCTGCCTCGTAATTCATATCAGGGCCTGGTTCATCCCTAATCCACAAAGTGCAATGAAGTAGGGCCATTGATTGTTCATCATGTGGAGGTGCAAATGTAGGTAGTTGCAGATTTGTTAGAACTTCCGGGTTGATATCAAGGCTGTACCAGTGGTACACAATCCC